AATCCATCACCAGAGATGCTTTAACAAATCCTCACCAGGCCCAAAGAACAAGATGAAACACTGAGAAGGGGCAGCTGGAGTGGAGGTCACATGTACACATCCACAGAAATTCAATTACTAAACACACTGTGCACCACACTTATTAGCTCAAAACATAGCAGCCTACAATTATAACTAATTTCAACTCTATACTAAAAAAAAAAAGAAAATACCCAGGACGACTATTTTACAGAAGCTCTAACAGTAAACAAACAAAGAAACAAAACTATGTTGCTATGAAAACATACCTTTTGTTTGAAACCTCTGTCCTGGCAAGAGCTGAGATTCTGGAACCTATGAGAGAATATTTGTTACAAAAACAAATTACGTTCAGCTTCTCTTATATCCTTGTTGCATGTCATATAATTTTTCTAACAGTAATGAAGAAGGCTTGGCTTTGCAATTAAGTTGAAAGAAAGAAGAGAGAAAATTTGGGGAGAGAAAATTCTGTGGAGCAAAGCCATGATATGCACAGCTCAGAAAAACTGGAAGGACTGGGACTCTGGGCAGAGGCTGCTGGCTGCTTGCCCAATCATAACTTCCCCTTCTTATTTGGTAACAGAATTTTAATATTATTTGGGGTGGCAACTTGCCTAGCTGACTATGTTTTCAAATTTTCTAGCCTCCTATACTCTGGTGAAGGAGCTCTGGTGGCACAGTGGGTAAGGTACTTGGCTGTTAACCAGAAGGTTGGCAATTCAAACCTACCAGCTGCTCCACAGGAAGAAGATGTGGCAATCTACTTCCGTAAAGATTTATAGCCTTAGAAACCCTGTGGGGGTTGCTATGAGTGGGAATTGACTCAATAGCAGTGGGGTTGGTTTGGTTTGGTTTGGTTATGCTCTGGTGGTGCAGTGGTTAGGTATTTGGCTGCTAACCAAATGATCAAAAGTTTGAATCCACCAGCCACTATGTGGGAGAAAGATGAGGCGGTTTGCTTGCATAAAAATGTACAGCCTTGGAAACCATATGGGGCAGTTCTACTCTGTCCTACAGGGTTGTTATGAGTTGGAATTGACTCAATGGCATTGGGTTTGTTTTTTGGACTTATGCATGTAAGGGCGGGCAAGGGGGGGTTGTTTCTATAAGCAAATATAGCTGTGTAGGGCTTAGGAAAATCCCCCCCTTTTTCTCTTACTTTCTTCTGTCTGCCTAGAAACATGTGGAGGCTGGAGTACTAACAGTCATGGAAAGCACATCCAAGGACAGGGGAGTGAGAAGGGGGAGTGGCCAGGTCCCTGATAACTGTGGAGTTGCCACACAGCCCTGAACTGCTAACCTCCATATTTCCTAGGCTTGTTAAAAATTGTGGCACCTAATTATAGGCAATCAAGGTATGGTCTGATCCTACTTTAGTCTATGGCCCTATGGGGTTAATCTATATCTCTGATTAATATCTCTATTCTCATTTATTCTTGGCATTACTTTGTGCCCATAAACTAAACCCATGGACAGGTCAACTGGCCACAGTTAGAAATGTAGTATCAACTGAGTAGAGACAGGATTTGTATCAAGTAAAATCAAAGGCAGAATA